TCTAAAATGATATACCAAAAAAGATTGTTCGTATCCTTGCAGGAACAGCCTGGAAAAGTTAGACTTTCTGAATTCTAATTGAAGCAAGGAACTATTAAGATTTCCTCAGTGGTGGTTGAAAAAGCTAGGAAATTATTTTTTATTTCGATAATAGTAAGTATAGGGAAACCTGAACAAAATCTGTTTTGTTTCTGAAGTAGAATCTAAAAATGAAATGATATCTAGGGGGCCGCCATTTAAACTAAGCATGATGTTGCCACATCTATACGGAAGTGACAACAAATAGTATATTATGCAACAAGTGTGGTAAATGGCATTTGAGTCACGACTTTATTTGGGACGAGGGGAACACGGCGAAACGAGTGTTTATGTCTGTAATTGAGTATAGAATCTATTTTTTTCAATTCTCGTCTCTGAAAACGTCATTAATCACGATCGTCAGTCGCTGATGATTTCAGCCACCGATGATATTTTGGCATTTGCCAGAAACCAATGGTTGTAGAAAAAATATCGCCTTCAGTGAAAAATTATCCGCCTTCAGTTACTCGTTTATTAAAGTCTGGCTTATGCCAAATCACACTCGTGGCTGAAAAGGCATTTATCAAACTTGTTGCATATTATAATATTTCCTATTGTCTCGTATATCTATCCAGTCATAACGTTTATAATAACCTAACTTTTGTCTGTTTTTTTCTAAATATCTGTATCTAATCTAATCGAAATCTATATCTAAATAGTTTATTGTGTTCAGCCATTACCCTCTATCAGTTTTATTAAGGTTTTCAAGGTTTAAGGATTTTAGTATTTTAAGGCATATCTTTGTTCAAGTTTCAGTAATTAGTTTTAGTGTTAACTGTTTTTTTTTTATAAATAGAAATCGAGAAATAACTATATTTCCAATTTTGGTTTAGCAAACCACTAGAAACGAATTCTGCAATTCAACAAAGTTATGATTGAACTGTGTACTCAAGACGGTATAGGTAAAATTATTGATCAATTAATTAATTGGTCGTATCGTTCTTTATTTTTGGAAAAAGAAGTAATTAATCAAATTTCCAATTTTGGCTTTTTAAACATTTACCCAGATAAACGTATTTTCAAGATAGAAATTACCTGCAGCTAAATCATTAATTTAAATTTAAACTAAATATACAATTGCATAGCATTAATAAAAATAATGTGTAGGTAATGAGCAGCGAATGACGCGATGTTAATAAAGATACCCAGACCAAACACCGTCTCGGATGACTGATTCTCATATTGGTGACAGGTCACCTAACAATCTTAACCGCGGGTCAGGTCTTTACCTGCCAATTATCCTGTTGGCTTCTTCAAAGCTTGACTGAAACTGCTTCGTATTTCACTCTGTACCTGCTTTTATAGCGTTGAGGGGCATAAACGCCGTCTCGGATGACTGATTCCCATATTGGTGACAGTTAGAGTCGCGGTTAAGATTGTTAGGTGACTCAGGTCCCTACCTGTCACCAATATGTGAATCAGTCATCCGAGATGGCCTTTATGCCCCTCATTTAGCTCCGCCCCCCTCAAACAACATAAAAGCAGGTACAGAGTAAATTGCGAAGCAGTTTCAGTCAAGCTCTGAAGAAGCCAACAGGATAATTTGCGAAACGTTAGATAGTTCGACTCAACAAAAACTGACTCAGGAGGAATCCAGAGCTTTTATAAAAAGTAATACAGTAGCCTGTGGAAGTTTCTTTGAGAAAAGGTTTAACATATAAATAAATAAGTTTAAAACTTAATAAATAAGTTTAAAACTTGCAAACAATGGCTTACTTTCTAGGTGCTGAGACATTTTGATTCGTACTGACTCTATCAATGAAATACACATTTTACACACATTATTTCAAGTTATTAATTTTGAATATCAGATTGATTGTAAAATAAGTGGTATCATTTCTTCTAAAACGCCTGTTGTTGGGAACAACATTGTATTGGAACATTATCACTCGAAATAGACGCTCCCTTAATGCTATTTTGTGATGATTGCCAAATGTCCATTTTGGTGCCATGAATTCATAATTTACACTTTATACATAATTGCACTTTCTACATTTTAATTGTATCTTCTTCGTCCAAAATATTCAATATCACTTCCTTAAAAATGAAATCTGATATGTTCAAATCTGTATGCTTTGTAGTAAATTATATAATAATTATTATAATTGTATTATTAATATAATGTCTCTTTGCATCTGTATTCGGTAAAGAATTTGTTTCTACCCATGGTTTAGGTGAATTATTTTGTGAGTTGCCTTCGTTTTTTAGGGTCATTTTTTTAGGAATTAGAGGAAAAAGCAAATTAATTTTAATGAGTCAATAGATTTTTCTTTTCTAAATTTATTTGCATTTCTTTTTTTTTGTAAGTAGGTCTCTGAGTGATCAGTGATAACAATACGTAAATTATACAGTTCTCTTTTTTTGTAAGGTTGTTAATGTAGGTAGTTTTTTCATCGATTTCATTAATTTCCTGGGAGTGTAGGTATATTTTGTAAGTCCAGGATGGTGTGAGTCATCTCATATCAAATAGGTAATAGCCATAGTTAACATTTTTTTTATATTCAAAAATTAATTAGAATTAGCTTACTCTTAATTAAAATTGGGATGAGCCTGCCAAAGCTTTAACTGATTTTATATGACCCTGGGGTCGAATAAATCCAACAAATGTCTTTCTCCACGCAATTTATTTTTAGTGTTTTTTAGTTTTTTAGACACTTCTCAAATCGACCTCGAGAAATCTACCTGTTTCTGTTTCTCCACACAGAATAAGAGGTATTTTTTTCTCCTAAAGTTCAGGTTGATTTGCAATGCAAGTTTTCACTTCACCACAAGAGGTTACGTTATTGTCGGACTTTTATTGAATTTATGGATATTTTGAAAACTTTTCTAAGAATATTTACTCGGTTGTGTTTGAAAATCTGTTTTGGATAGATATCTTAATGAAATTTGGCACAGATATGCTATGTATGAAGAAGCATTTTGTAGTGTAGCGGGCGTACGGTATTTCACCTGTTTTGGCAGATATTGATGGTAAGCCACTGATTTCTCTTAAAATAAGAATTATTCTAACTCCTCTAAATTCTACCACTGCACCACTGGGGTTTTCATTGACCCAAATATGGTCATCGTGGAAATTTCTGTTTGCATTTCTGGAAAAGTTAGCTTTATCTGCAAATAGTATTTTGTGATCAAACAAAAGATAATGCGCAATGTTGTCCAAAAACCATTGACAAAAATTAACACGCAAGGAAAAATCTCTTATCACTAACGCTTGGATTCGCTGAATATGATATGGGTACAATAAAAAATAGTGCAAAATTTTCCAACCCAAGACGTGCGAGATATTCAGATTATTTCCAGTTTTTCTCGTACTAAGTTCAGGATTTTCATCAATATACTTCAAAACTGCTTCTTCAATTTGTGGAATTCTTACAGTTCCTTTCAAATCATTATTTGCCGTCAAAGTAGCTGTTTTAGTCAACCATTTATGTACATTTGACAATGTTCGCCTATCTGGTATGACTATTAGGAAAGTCCTCTTGAGATAATCGCCTAGCTTCCGGCTCACTGCCATCAGCCAAACCATACTTAAAATGCATATTTGCCAACTCCTCATTAGTAAACTCGACCATTCTGTTTTAAAATAACCATGCTCGGATATTTTAAACACCAAAGATGCGGAGAACTGAATTTAAAAACTGATATTAAACATCTACCAAATAACCGCCTTCACAACAGATTTAATAATTCTTACAGACACAGCCTACTAAAATGATAAGAAATATTTATAATGATTTAAAAAATTCACCTCAGAGTTTACGTAATTCGTATTCTTACTTCTATTTTTTGTTTGCATTTTAATAAAACAGATAGACGATTACTTGAGTATCTATATTGTATGACCGTGCAGAGAAGTGGCTTTTATTTTTTTAATGGAAACCCATATATCAGATTGAAAAAAATCAAGAAATTAAATATCTTTGGAAATGATTGGAGATTGTAAAAATAATTTTTATTTCAAGAAAAATCATCAAAATAGACAGATGAAATTCCGTACGACCCCCCTGGTATATTTGAAAAAAGTTAAAGCACTAAATAATGCCTCTTGATACATAGTACATGTGTGCTAAATTTTATTAAAATATCTAAAGTGGTATTACAGATATTAAAAAATATATTTTATTTTTGTCACCCTCTATTTCAAAAGTTAGGACATATATGAAGTTTTCTTTTAAAACTAACCAACCATGGCAAACTCAACGCTAAAAGGAAATTTTGTGGAAATATTTCCCATTCTCTTTGCCAGCGTTCGATTAGGTATAATTACATTTTAAGTAATCCTTCGTTTAATTACAATTTCTTCTAAATAAATCCCGTTATTCGATTGTACTTACTTTTTTCTTTTTCTTGTCTCGTGAAATACTCTTTAAATAGAAAACAAAACCCAAAAATTATTACAAACTCAAACCAAATCTTTCAATAAAAGAGGCAATCTTACATAAAAGTCGGTTAAGTGGGTCAACGTCTATATCACGATCTATTCCAATCTCGTCAAAGTATCGGATCCCAACGAGATCGTAAAAAAGCACAAACGTAAAAAAAACACAAAGGAAGAAAGTCAAGTTCACGGTCGCACCAGAGTCGGGTTGGCTGTTTTCAAATCGTATGCGTGGACAAAGATTTTTTGGTGTGGATGACCGGCTCAGAACTAATAGTTGCGTTTTGACATTAGTGATTAAATTAATTATTTTTACTCAACAGTTTTTATGTAATTTTGATCTCAATTGTTCTAAAGATGAAAACTTGGATGTTTTGTATTTGAGGAAGGTTCAGTTTTCCGAAAGGCAAAGTCTATTTAGCGATGTTTTTTATCATTTTATTGATTATATAAGTGGTTTCAGCAAAAAAAATCTTACATATTATTTTCAAAAGTAATGGTTCCGAACGAATTTTTATTTTTAATTTTTATTTTCGTATTTTAGGGCGGGATGAGCCTGGCTTGCAAGAAACTCTGGACAGCACTGCAGATCTTATGGAGCGTACTCTACGTGGTTTGCGGAGCGTGTCAATTGATGGTGGCCATATTTTTTCTCATATCCGTTAGCGAACTGAGACTCTACACCGTCCTATTTGCCGGATCATGGGTAACTGATGATTAATGTTTGCTAGAACTGCGAATTGCCAATGGAAAACCCTAAATTATCCCTGATTAGCATCCACTTTGGAAAGCTCCATTGTTCTAGATTGTTCCTCTAATTAACATTAAAATATCGGCAATATATATTACCTAATAGAAGATTTTCCTACCCTTTTTTTTAGAAAAGTAATTTTTAAATGATCTTCTTTAAAAGGTTCTGGAAACTCTTCATTTAAATAGTAGTGTTTCAATGAGATGAAATGAAGGAATAAAAAAAATCTTGATCCGTTCACTGCAAAGATTGCACCCATTTGTGTATAAAAGGCTGCTGTTTCCTTGTATAACTCAAATGAAAGTTTATTCCATAGGTAAACCAGTAGTTTTATTTAATCAAAAATCCAGATTTAAACATAATTTTAATGTAAAAGGTGAGTTAACCATAGAGTTCATTATCACATTGGTTTCAAAAGTTATGAGAAAATGGTAATTACATTAGTTATAACGATTGTTAGGAAGGTGTACCGGGTGGTCCAAAAATGTGTGACGAATAAAACATAATTTTTTTTTCAACCTTCAAATTAAATTAATTAATTCTTCCTCCTGATTTCCAACTACAGTTGTTGTTTTTCTCTTAATACTTTTCGTCTCCTCAAATTGACGAACAATATGCTTTATGGTGATTCTTAAAGGTTGTGAGATATTTTCTTTGTTTGAATAAAAAAGGCAAAGTGCTTAATGTTTTTGATCGTCCGAATAACCCACATTAAAATGAAAATATTTTGTTTTCCAAGGCAATAATGGTGATCATTACTTTCTATTTATAATTCTTAAATCGCGTTAAAAAGGAACATTTAAGTAGGTGTTAATTTCTTATGCCTTTGCGGCGCTCATTTGTTTTTATTGGTACAGTCAGAAGATAGTAGAGAAAAAATCATACCACTTTCGTATACAGTTTTTGCCTATCTAAATTAATAAATCTCTGTAGATGGGTGTCAAAATAAGGTAGGTGCAACTGTAAAAATGTTACAAACGTATAACAGAAACCAATAGGAAACCATTGTACAAAATATGAAATTGAAAATTTGGTCTAGTTTCCCTGAACTTTTTTGTTGTTTGTTTGTTAAGCTTAGCTCGAAACTGATTGATATTTTTATTAAATGATTCAAGTAGTTTAATTTTCGGTCCGGATAGCAATTTTCCGGACGACATAGGAAGTAACAGGCAGTTTTTTCTACATGTTTTGACTTGCGTATTTTTCGTGACACGAGATAGGAAATGAAGCGAACAAAAAGCAACGTAAAATTCTTCACGTAGGGTATTTAAGAGAGTTGCAAAGGTATTCATGACATTTACTGATATATTCTTTCCACAATGCTGTGCAATTTTATTATTAATTGTTATTAACGAATGTTCCACATTCAAATTAACGCATATACTTACACAATGTTCCGGTATGTAACTTTAAATGTTAGTCAATTAGATTCAATTGCACAAATAATTGCACTGATACGTATAGTACTTGTATTTGATTAAAATAATAAGAATAGTTTGCCTTGCGCATTCACCGTCTATTAAGTTAAGAGGAAATTTTCGTCAGATTAGTGGCTACAATTATTTTAAACATAAACCGGTTGTTACACTTTAATGCCGAAATTAATGTCATGCTTACCACGAAAATATTTACTGTAAAGTTTTGTGTGTATTAGATGGAAATATTTACGCATTAGTAATCTGTTTTTATCGATACGGTCGGTTATGAAGATTGTATCTTCTCCGAAAATACGTGCTTCAAAAATATTAATAATGAATGAAAAATAATGAAAGAATGACAATGAAACATGTGTTAATTTGTCAATTTATAGCAATTGAAGCTACGCAAAAATGTAGTTTTGTAATTATTTGAACCAAATAATCAGGTTTGGTTAGTTTTGATTCGCTTTTCTGTTTTTTCCGCAGAAACTAGATGAACGAGGGATATTCGATAACATGATATTATTTCAGTGTAACAATAATTTTATAAAAAAATCGATAATTTTTAAGAGTAATAATAATACTAAACATAACACAGCTAGTTATGGTAGATTGGCAAGATCTAAGGCATAATTTAACACAATTTAAATGATCAAGAATTTATAAACAAACATCTAGCGTCAATACGTATTAATAGAGAGTACCTTCAAATATTTGATTATATTTTGATAATACTAAAATTAAAAAAAAATCCATTAATTACAATTTAAATGTTTACTGTGCAATCACAAATTTTTGCAATCCGTTTTCGAAACGAACTACTTAATAATTGCGATTATTTTCTATATTTTCTTAGAAATCCAGTTGCACCAGAGTACATGCATTTTTGCGGTTAACATTCGTATTAAAAATTTAATATCAGTCTGTCTTTTCTCACGGACATTTTTCAATTTGTTGCTTGCTGTATTGCCTCGCAAATAATATAATGTCGTAAGTATCTGACTACAGTTAAAAGAAGCTTGCAATCAAATCTAACCTTAATAAGGAATTATTAGAAGAACAAATTAGAAAACAGCGTTCCTGAATTATAAATTTTAGGTTATGGGGCGGGATCCCGGAGGACAGTTTTAAGCGTTTCTATGCCTAACATCAAGGGGTCTAATTCAATGAATATTAATAGTGACCACCAATGTTTCAATGTTGTATGATGCAATTTTCATCATTTATTTATTTATTTTCAACATTTTGCCATTTTACACAATTAATTGAATTAATTATGAATTGGAAATACTTACATTAGTTTACAATAAGGTGAAATTTTAAACTGTATTTAAATTTAAACAGAGGTCTGGTATCATAGGATATGTTAAAATTCTTTTAATATGATAAATAGCTACAGACAATTTCTCTTGTGAATAACTTAAAATCAAAACGTAAATCTGAGTAGAGTCTCCGAGCTTCTAGAGGCTTAGCCTTAGCATAGGACAGCTTTGTAATTAGTACAGCGACGGCAAACCATATAGTTATTAGATAATTATAATTCGGTATCGGCGTCATCGATATTTTCGCAAGGAAGTAAATGATTTTCAATGCACGCCTTTAAATTTTCGTTCCAAATAGCGATTTTCCTAACTTTAACTCGTTTTCGAAGTACATTTAACAAGATCTAGGCATTTTGAAAGAATACTGTCGTTAAAATGCCCCATCTAAATTTATTGACGCTCTCTCAGCACCCATGTTGATTGTTAAATATCCGAAGATCATTGGTCAAAAACGACTTTCTCCAATTTTTTTCTTGTAGATGCTTACTTACTATGCGGCAAACTAATTGGAGACAATAGCTTAATTGTTGGTAACAAAGAAATTTGTTCTAGATATTTCGAATTGTATATCCTTATTATTATTTTTAAGATATTTATTTGTTATTTTTACATTAAGTATAATCATAAGTTTAAATAATTTTATTCATTAATTTATTTCATAGAACTAAATTTTTAAAAGGCAAACATTCGAAACGCTACTGTAGGATTGAGATTGAATATCGTTACCATAGAGATGTAGCGGATTGTCAACATCCCATTCCTGTCAATCTGTCAATAATTTAATGTTAATTTTCCTTCGAATCTCTGCAGATGGGTTTGCAAAAGAGTCCTTTTTTTAAAATTTTGTGAAATTGTTAATAGTTTCAAAAAATCCGTGTTTAATGCTGTTTATTATGTTCAAGAAGCGACGTCCCAGGATAACGTTTTTGGAAACAGATTATCGAATTGTTCGCATTTCTAAAGCAGACCCTCACTGTTGCGTATACCCGCGATAAACTACCAGTTTAACGTAGATATACTTCGATTCGGTTACGGTTAGTCTCGGTACAGAAAAAAATGTAAGAATACGAAACGACCCTTTTCGCATAACAACATTTTATTTATTATTTTTGATGCGTTCATCTCCTTGACTACACGGCCAAACCGCGCTGTTGCCAGTTTAAAAATTAATCCTAACAACCAACAAAGGTACAGTACAGTATTTTAAGAACAGTTGGAGATAAATATGCTTTAAGTCTAGAGACAAAGCCTTGGTTTCTGTAAGTACGTAAAAGCCACTTTGGGATCAAATTCGCTTCCTCCCTTTAAAAACAGGTAGTCACCCGATCTTCTGGCTCTCTGTGTAAATTGAATTCCACAGCAAGTTCTTCTGAGAAATTTGACATATTTAAGCTTGCGTTAGACCCTCACTATCTGTTTCTAGGTCTTCTAGTTTTTGATTTCTTAATAATCTCATTCAAAGTTAATTTCACCATTTGATTTGGTGGTTTTTCCATTGTTGTTTCCCCAAGTTTTCTTTTGTATGAAGAACTATAGCCAGTTGTTGATTTTGTTGCTTGTCGACCTCTATTAGAGTTTATTTTCTTCAAGCAAACCAGAGCCTACTACTACTAACTACTATATGAATGGAATGTTCTTTGAAAGTAGACCCTGTTCTGTAGATTGTTTTACTTCGGCTAATGATTCGCATTTATCAGCAGATATCACGTCACTTTTGTTTAATTGTTGAACTTACCATGTGGTAATTGTTCCTCCTGTTCCGCTGCACGGTAATCGGCCTCACTAAAGGCATGTCTTTGAAAAGGGTAGATATCTCTTACTTTAAAACCGTTGGCTGCTATTTCGCCGGTTTGACACTTGCGATACGCCTTCCCAAACAATTCGACAATGTCATATGTCAAAGGCTGGCTATATAATAATTCCACAAAAAAAAATTTTAGTCAAGCCGCAATTAATTTTTAACATATGTTTGGTCTTTTCTCACAATAAAAATAACTACGGCCAGTTGCCGACTAAATACAGGCTAAGCGATTAGTTTATTATTTAATAATTTAGTATTTCGATTTACCCTCATTCCTCTATATCAGACTGAAGGTTGTGTTAATGATTTTATTGGTAAATGATTATCCGCAAATCCTTGCATCAAAGCAAACATATTTATATCAAAGGTAAACAAATCGAACAACATCGGTCAGAGTGGTATTAGACATTATTGGTTTTAACTTTTGTTTGCGTTTAGTTAGAGAGCTCTGGATTGATTTTATAATATACTCACCAAAACCATGTTTGAACAGCAAAATAAATTGCCCGAAAATCATTAATAGGGGACCAGATGTTTATTATCTTTATTTAAAAGTAAAAAAAATTGTAGTTTAATATTTTTCTTTCTTTTTTATGGGTAAAAAATTTCATATTTAGTCATCGGTATGCATACAACACTGTACTTATCAATCGAACCAGGTACTATTTAAGCCATTGTCGTGAAAAAAAAAAGTCTTACCTGAAACGTTTTGCTTTTAAAGAAATAGTCCGTCCATTGATATTTTCATTTCCTAGAATATTACAATCGGCATCGTTGGAGGGGTGGTCGCATGCATAGGACTGCTTTCCCCGAAACGGCAAGAGGTCTTACTTTATCTGGCAGTATCCATTTTGGCCGTCAACGTGGTAGCCCTTCTGTTCACCGAGTGGAAGATCTACTTCGCTGAGGTACCCAAGTTACTCGATAATTATCCAAATCACGTCCTGATAGATTATGGTAAGTTTAAAGATTAATTTAAGTAAGTCGCATCAGTATTCATTCGGATTTTCGTAAATCCTATACAAATCCACAACAAAGAATTTCAATTACAAACACTTCTTAACCGATAAGGTTAGTTAGAAGGTTAAAAACCTGACAAGTTTCACCTCTGAAAAACCGGGATACCGATGAAAATTTAAAGATATTTCCTATGTCAATCATTACCAATCACAAAAAAATAATGAATAAAGGCTTATGGCTATTTAACATTTATGGATTTATAGATTTAAGATTTTAACCTCGATTTTACGTGCGTCTTGTCCTATGTCTGCTTTTGCGTATATTTTATGAGAAAAATTGACCTTTTAAAAGTGGAAAGGTATATTGCTATTTCAAACATTGCTTACAAAAATGCCGGAATACTGTAAAGTTTGCAATGAACTTGGCCAATTTCAGTTCTGAAGTATAATTTCATATGTCATAGGCGGGTGTATTTAATTTATTGTTTTGTGCTTTGTGCCTAATGTTTTCTATTGTAGATTTCTAAAGAAGCATCAAATTTTGTTTATATTTATGTTAATTATTAGTTATTTTAATTATAGTCCTGCACCAACCATTTATTGCCACTCTCTGGAATTATTTTTGACACCTTACCTGGTTGCCTGTAGCAGTCATAGTAGTCCTGTAGCGCCTGATAATATAATAATAAGTCGAAAAAAATTGTCCAGACTATAATATGTTTTGTAATCATTTTTTAAATAGATAAAGTTTTAAATATTTGTCTCTTAACTCCAAGGGCACATTGTTAAAAATACGTGACCTCGAAGTCGTCGACAGCCTACAGTAGGGACCATTCAGCTTACCGCTCTGTCTTGTATGCTTAGAATGTACGTCACCAACTAACTTAAAATTCGATAAATTGTTAAAGAGAGAAATGGCGTTTTAAAAATAAAAAGACTCGCCAGTGTGAGAATTCTGTAGTGGGCAAATAAACCCATAAAAGATGAAAACTTGGAAATGTGTGCAATACTCCGTAATATACGTTTTTGAGCCAAAAATAATTTATCGGCATTTATCCCCACAAATGGTTACTTACAATATGAAGAGTACAGGACTTAAAACCAAACCTTGAGGGACACCCATCTCTATGCGTTGATTGGCACTTTCTATTCTCTTACCGTTATATAACTTAAGGGATACAAATTGAGAACGAACTTCCTTGTTGATTGTATCGAAGAAAATATCAATTCTGCATCAGGGTAATTAAAATAACGCCCTGTATATGGGTCGACAACGATACGGTGCCTTCTGTGACCTGCGGCGTAACTCCAAATGGTTTTCGTCCGTGCTAATTATCGATTCGAATTTTTAAGGAAGGTCACACCTAATGAAAACGAGTAGGTAATCCCCGACTACAAAACGAGTCTCTCGGCCGCGTATGCGATGCGCACTTTTAGTTTTAACGAGAACTTCGTGACAACCGATCTCGAAATCAATATTAAACATTCTTCGACGAGTCGTTTTCTCCGATCGGGCAAAAAGATTTTCGTTAAAAACGTGGGTTTTCCTTTTCAGCATGCTTTCTGCTTAGGATCGCCGAGGGTACCGTCGTAGTGGTCTCCTTTTTCGACAGTCAATTCGCCTTTTGCTCCGCCCAGATCCTACCAGTGGCGGGAAGCAAAAAGGGCCGCGGATCACACGACCAAGTGTCCGATATCGAGTACATTATTCCGAGGGTAAGAAACTTTTCTGCACTCCTATAGGTGTAATCATCGTTCGACGCAATTAATGTCTATGATTGATTACGATGGATAGTTTAAAGTCTATTGGTGCGCGATGAACAACAAATTATACCGGGTGTCCCGTTTATTATAGAATGACACACCTTATCGAATACAAAAGTAGTGTGGATTCAATCATACATTTGTATAGCGGGTGTTGCCTTACTGAACAGAACATAGGAAATCTGATGTAAATATTTAGGTGGCCAAATACTGGCTCTCCTGTACATTTAATAGTAAAGTTGTGATATAATTTTTTAACTTTTTTAATTAACTCATGTGCCTAGTTTCATTAATATTTAAATTGGCCAATCTTCAGTTATTGAATTAAATATGAAGGCAAAATTAGAAAAAAAATATAGTTTAATTAATAAATCAAACACCAGTAAAACAAGTTGTGACAATTACAACACGAAAAATAGTGACAGTAACAATATTTTTATTTATGATTCTTATATGTTATTAAACGTGATTGAAGAAAAAGTAACCATAATTAAGTGGTTATATGCAGAAAACAGCCTTAGAACAGTGACTTAATGTTTTGTAGAAAATAATAATAGGAATTTTTAAAAAAATATTTCACGCATTTGCACTCAACAACAAACCAAATGTTCAAAAAAATTGGAGGGAGAGAAAATGAATATCGTTTTGTTCCTAGTGGAACCTAATTTCCTCGATAAATAAATGTTATGGTGCGAATTTGAGGATGCAGAATGTTAATTATAATAATTAATCATTTTTAATAAAAGACTTCGTCGTTTCTTGGAACTTCCTTGTTGCTTAAACCGTCCTTTAATTGAAATTCATCCCGAAAACGCTTTACGGGACAAGGACTAAGAACCTGGGATGCGTTTGATCTTACAAAAACTTAATTATAGTCCTTCATACTTTATTTATTTTGAATATATGAAACCAAATTTGCATGTCTTCATTGTAAACCAATCTTTATTTGATATGTCATTGTCCAGCTTGACGTCATTTTGAAAATAGCGTCATGAAAATATTCGCTGGTGTTTTTTGTATTGACCTTTTGCAATTTTGATAAGTTTATTAAAATTTATTCAAACTCGGCACATGAGTTAAGAAAAAAAAAACAAAACGAAAAGTTGTATTACAACTTTGATATAAAATGTACAGCGGGGCCAAGATTTAGGCACCTAAAAATTTACTCGGGATTTCAAATGTTTCTTTGGGAAACATCACCCAGTATCCAGGAAGTTTGTACTTTGGTGTACAAATATGTACACAATGTTCTTATTTTAAACAGGCCTCCCTGTAAGTTGGGAAAATGTTAGACATAATGTGGACAATATTTTATATGTAATTCTTACCGTTTCCGACATGTGTTGAATTTTATGTCAAAAGGACTATTTACAGGTCATATCTATCGATTTTTATGCCTTTGTTTTATATTTAAAGAAGGGGAAGTGATACAATAAAAAAATATTACTCCAATTCTTGATCTATATTAAATTTTTGGGCCAATATATACAGATGATTGGATAAAAACGTAATATTTAAGGGTATTTTTTATTAATAAATAGGTGGAGTACGTAAAATTATAATCGATACACATGTTAAAATTACATGTCTGAATTTATTAGGGACTTATCGAAAAATAGCGTGAGCAAATAAATATTCCTATTGAATATGAATTTACCACGGTTGCACTAATTTCCTTCGTTTAAGTTTCTTGCTAACGTAGCTGTCTGCATATCATCTTTCCAGCTTCGCCGTGGTCTTCGTATTTTTTTCCCTCTGGAGGAACCCAATTGTACATTTTCTTCGGCCATTTTCTGGGGATGTCCATACCAAGTGAGCGTTTTACTTAATTTAATCCTTACTTGCCTTACTGCCATTCATTCTTGCGTAGCTGGAACGGCATGCCGCTCGTCCGTCCTGACTCAGCATACGTGACTTTTGGCGGCCATACAAAAGATATCACTAAAACGGCCATCCTGTTTTGAAAGCGTCCTCGCGCTATTTCTAAAATTTTTAAAAACCAACAACTAAATTTTTGTAAGTGCTACTATTTAAAGTTTAACTCAATACAAACAGACAGCGGAGTTACTATTGTAACATTATTTAGTTATATATTTTTTTATTCAATAATGGCATTGCCATTATTCCTCTACTTAATAATGGGATTGCCAATTTAAACCTCACTTTTGTTTTAATAATGGGATTGCCATTATTCTTCTACTTGATAATGGGGTTGCCATTATTAATCTTTTTTTTTAAATAATGGGATCGCCATTATTCCTCTACTTAATAATGGGATTGTCGTTATTAACCTCACTTTTTTTTCAATAATGGGATTGCCACTATTCTTCTACTTAATAATGAGATTGCCATTATTAATCTCACTTTTTTAACTTTAAATAAGCAATTAAAAAGTAAATAATCTTATGTTACCGACTTTTTGTGAATTCGTAGACGGCCATGCAAGCAGTTGTTAATGAGCAGCTACAGTAGTCCGCCGTCCCCGTTTTTGTAACGCATATCGGTCATTAGGTGGTGCTGCACGTACAGTAAATGGTCCTCTGTGTTTCGGTTTCAATTTTACTCCGCCGACTAGCTGAGATTCTTCCACAGCCACAAGGCCCCAGAGTCTTTGCAACGGCTTTGCCTGAATCAACAAAGTTATCGCTCAGTGACGCATCTTATAGGAGCTGCTGAGTGGCTAGCAACCTTGGATTTCTTCTACGTGTTAGCGATATCTTTTACATGGCCGCCGAAAGTCACGTATGCTGAGTCAGGACTTACGAGCGGCATGCCGTTCCAGCTACGCAAGAACGAACGGGAGTACGACGTACACCGAAGATCTGTTTTGATCCTTATTCAATTTACATTTGATAGAAGCCGGATTTCATATCTCGTGTAGTGAAGTATTTTGCATGGCAGAGAGCATTGATCTGATCTTGAATATGCGGCATCGGGTATCTTTCTCTGACGACTCTGTTGTTGACATCACGTAGATCCACGCACATTCGAACTTCACCACTTTTTTGATACTAGAACTATCGGACTTGCATATTCTGAGCGACTTTCACGAATTGTCTTAACTATTGTATTAACTTGAAGTCTTTCTTGATACGCCACTGGATTAGTATCTTTTAAGTTTATTGTCATTTCACCAGTCATATCTGGTCGGGAGTTTTATTTTTGTAAAACAATAAAAGGCTTGCTATTCGTAATTTCAAGTCCTCTTTTAAGTCAGGTTGATTAATCACAACCTTATCCACACTTTTTAAGGTCATTACGTTCGAAATATTGAGCAGCAGACCTTATTGACTATTTTGATTATCGCATTTAGCGTTTTAGCTACAGAATGCTTTATAATAGATTCATTGGTTCCACTATCAACCAAATAAGAAGAAGAGAGAGCATTATTTTTGCACGATAACGTCGCTGTTGGTGTTGCGTTCAAAATTTTCTTATAGTGGTTGCAAGTTGAAACTTTGCATGAACCTGGAGCCTCTTCTCGAACTACGTTTGGTGCCTCGTGTTTATTGCGACAAGTATCACGATGGTGTTCTTAGCGGCCACAATTAAAACATGATTCTTTTAAAATCTTCTTGGATTTTTCATGGCTTACCTCTCGTTTTTCCCCGAAACGGCATTTTTTCAACCCTACTTAAAACCTCGTCCCAGGGCAATTTTTCATAAAGCCTGTATATAATGAGTGTTTTTTTTTCGATGTATAGAACTGTAAGTTGGCATTACTGTTCAAGATGGCGACCGATTTAACAGCTGTCAAGTGATTTATTCTCAGTTTGGTTTGGCAATTCATCATGAATAGACTCACGTTTGAACAACGCTTGCAAATAATGCAATTTTATTTCGAAAATAATGGTTCTGTGCGGAATACGTATCGCGCACTACGTCCATTTTATCGTGGACAAAATCGTCCATTAGAGCAGTTAATTCGATTAACCATGGAACGTTTTCGCACCACAAGATTGCTGTTGTTCCCGATTTTCATAAGCGAATTTTGTTTAGCGATGAAGCGCACTTCTAGTTGAATGGCGAAGCTAATCCTCAAGTGTATGTCAAAACACCGTTACATCCAGGAAAACTGACTATTTGGTGCACTTTATGGCCTGGTGGAATCATTGGTCCGTACTTCTTCAAAAACGATGATGACCAGAACGTTATAGTCAATGGTGATCGTATAGAGCTATGATTACTAACCCTTCCATTCCTGAATGGAATAACCATGATGTCCAGGAGATGTGGTTTCAACAAGACGGCGCAACATGTCACACAGCTCGTGCCACAATCGATTTATTGAAAGACACGTTTGGTGACCGCCTAATTTCACGTTTAGGACCTGTGAATTGGCCTCCAACATCTTGTGATTTAACAGCGCTAGACTACTTTCTGTGGGACTATGTAAAGTCATTGGTCTATGCAGATAAGCCACAAACGCTTGACCATTTGGAAGACAACATTTGCCGTGTTATTGCCGATATACGGCCACAAATGTTGGAAAAAGTCATCGAAAAGTGGACGTCCAGATTGGACTACATCCGCGCCAGCCGTGGCAGTCATATGCTAGAAATCATATTTAAAATGCCACAAGATTATCTTTCGGATAAACAAAATTCATGTCAATGGAATAATCCATCGTTGTTTTATTGCAACTTAAAGTTCTATACATCGAAAAAAACACCCCTTACTTCGAAGTTTCTGATTGCCATAGTCACATAAAGAACCAAATCACGACTTCGCATGGTGGCAGCTTTAAATGCTCGAACCCCAGGTGTTTCTTTATCAGGAAATGCAGTGATGAGATCAGCACAAAAATTTTCCCAAGTTCGGCGAATCGGCCGCCATTCGCAACAGTATCGTTAACCTCTATTTTCAAAGCCTCACCTATCCTAGCGACCATTAAATTATCGCTGATGTTTAATTCGTATTTTAATTTCGTAGCGTCTTCTAACCACTCACGAATTGTGTAAACGCTGTTGTCCGGATCGTAGCTGGTTAATTTGAATGTCGATGTTGACGCTCGCGTACCTGATACAACTGCTACGGGAAGCTTGGGCGCTGGCATTTCCTGTGAATGTGACAATGACATCATCGCCATCTTTCTTTGTTTCGCCAATTCAGCAATTTGTTGTTGTTGGGCAGCGATTAAGTTAATTAAAGTTTCTTGCCACTGCACTGTCCCTTTCGAAAGTTCAGGAATAGACTCGACACGAGGTGACACATTATCTCCGTTCGAATCTGTTGTAAGATTCAGCTCGGCACCGTTTGTACCATTGTCTGCCGCCATTTTCGCACTAATTCGTATTGCTTTTGCACCACTGGACACGGAACTATCCCATTTCTAATGTTAACTTAAGTTAACTTAAGAGGATTGCGTAAGGGTTCAAGACTGAATAAAAGTCTCCCCAAAAACCAAAGCACTGTTCTATTTGACCATCTCTTACAACGTTGATTGCTTTCGGCTCTCCGGTGTACGTCGTACTGCCGTTCATTCTTGCGTAGCTAAAACGGCATGCCGCTCGTCCGTCCTGACTCAGCATACGTGACTTTTGGCGGCTATATATCGCTAACATCAATAGGCGAATAAGATGGCGTTAAATAAATACTGGGCATTCAAAAACTGAAATTACAAAAACTGAAATTAAAAATTTAAACGAAAACGTCAATTTTTTCAATTATAAACCCTCCAGTTTTGTAATTTTGTCGTTTTTGGCATTAAAAAGGGAGTGTGTATGGTCAACTATTTCAAAAAGGTGTAGATTTCGAAATATTAGTAGTAACTATCGAGCCTGTAGAAACTACAATATTTTGCTTTGCTACTTCGGAAAATTGTATTATTAATTATTTTGATATTATAATTATTAAGTAACATTATGCAAAATCTCTCTTTTTTTTCTAAATGGATTTATTTACTTTGAAAATATCAACGCAGACCACTATAGTAGATCCCTTAATGTAAAGATATATGTATAATAGAAGTTTTGAATTCGATAGATTTGTGTAGATCTGCAAACGTCACTTTTAATATAAAATCAAAATAATTCATGACTTACAATAGAATGTTGAATATGAAATATTTTCAGAGGAACTGAAAGATGCCTTAATGATAAGGTGCTCTATTTAAAATAAGTTGTTACATTGGAATATTTTAAATGTTGTTGGCTATTCGGTCTAAAATATCGAAATTTCGTGGAATGTATGTAACCCTCTTAAGTTGAGATTTATGGCTGTTAGATTATTTTCGCTGGGAAAGTGTTTTTTACCGTTAGAAGGGACCAGCCAGTTGTCGTTTGTTTAGCTCTCCGTACCGTTCGATATCAACTCTAATTATATTAATCCTGAAATACACTGTGTTTAATTGACCAACGCCTATTATGTATAAGTAAACTTTTCTCGTTTTTTCGATTTCTGATTCCCATTATAAGCGGACCACCCGGTACACTTGTAGCGGCCAGCAGTCTTTCTGTACCTCAAACAGCAAGTTTTACCAAAGCCATGCGTTCAAACGTATTCTTTAGCAAAAATATCAGGAATGCGGTTCGCAAGTTAATGTTTTTTTATTTCGAATCTGAATTTTATTTAACTGTGCCGCCATTAACCTGCTTTCAGTCGAAGCCGCAGTCGCAGCAGCACCAATTCTACGACGCATACGCTCAAAGTTGGGTGTTTGATTCCGAGAACGCGGGCTGTTCCAACGGGGGAAACTCCACCGACAATTCTTACCTGATCGTTCAGAATGGGACGACGCCCGCGCCCAAGAATCCACTGGGAAGGCCCAACGGTTTGCAGAACGGCACAGCGTTGAAAGAAGGTTTTGACTATTGTTTACGCTGCCACTATGGTTACAGCTAATCTGTTAAGTCCTGCTATATAAGAAATAACTACAAATATATTAAACGTTTTTATCAAATCTAGAATACCACTAGTGGCAGGCGTCCGGAATTTCGTATGTCTGTTTTGGCAACATTGATGATACGCCATTATTTTCTATTAAAATAAAAATACGTCCTACGATCTCCAATAATTTCTAAAGAAATTTAATTCCTTGATTTTTTCAAAAAATAAAAACCTCTTCTCTGCATATATTAATATGACAGCAAGCAGAGAATTATCATTATTATTTCTTATTTACGTAATTGTATTTTATAGATGAAGCTAACTCTTCCAGAAGTAAAGTCAGAAATTTCCACAATATCCTAATTTGGGCCAAAGTGCAGTTGTAGAATTTAAAAATCAAGAATAGTTTTATTGTAAATGTTTGGGCTGGAATTGTTGGAAATTACTTAATTGGAGCCTTTTTTCTCCCAAAAAGAATAAATAGTCATAATTATCGTCGGCTTTTAGTCACTTAAAAATAAAATCTAATTTTTCTGCATATTAACGATATTGTTATGTCCATGCCGAGAAGAGCTTTTATTTTTTAAGCGAAAACCGTACATCGGATTGAAAAAAATCCAGAAATTAAGTTTCTTTAGAAATGATTGGAGATTGTAAGAATAATTTTTATTTTAAGAGAAATGAGTGGCGTACCGTCAACATCTGCCAAAATAGACATGCAAAATTTCGAACTCCCTACGTGTGTTAAAAAAAAATATATAGTATACTAAATAATGCCTCTTGATACATAGTACGTGTGTGCCAAATTTCATTATAATATCTAAAGTGGTATTACAGGTATTTAAAAAAAACATTTTATTTTTACGACTTTGCCACCTTGTGTTTCAAAAGACATATGTCCATACGAATACGAATACGAATTTAAAATCGATACAAAAATCACCACCTTAATTATTGACATTCCATTAGAAAACACCGTGTATATCCAGCATTGCGTGAAAATAGTAATTTTCAATCCGCTACTCGACATAGTTAAAAATTTCTGATTGCTTAGGTCGATATCTGCCCTGCAATTTCGAGTTTTATTAGTAGATTCACACTTGGAATGATTCTTAAATCGGCACATCAAACAGATACTTGGAATAAAAATAACCCAAATCGACAAAAAGTTGCCGTTTTCACGTCCCATTTCTGCACAGAAATTAATTTACCTAATTAATATGTCAAGGTAAATACAAACCAATAATTATAATGTTCTTGGATTTTAAATTGGTTTTATTAAATACAAAAAATATACAAAATTATATACTCAAAATACAGTCGAACCTCGACAAGTCGAACTGCGATAACTCGAATTTTTGATCAGTCGAACCAAATTGGTTGGCAATAGAGTCAAAAGTAGGAAATGCGTGTTAGTTTGTCTTGATTACTCGAACTTCGATTACTCGAATATCTTGATAACTTGAACGAAACATTTGGTGCCAACTTCAATAAGTAGAATTTTCTGGAGGAACCCCCCAATTACGACCGATCTCAACCTCTCTTTTTAACGTATCTATGCAAGCAGTTCAGTTCCTGTGCTTGCTAAGTTCACTTGTATGACTTACTAGTTAATACTAAGTGAAAAATACTGTCCCTATTCAATTTACACATTATATTAAAGACATTTTTGGATTTTTGCATTTTTTGATATATCTTTAAAAACCGATACCGAATACACAACCGATTCCCTCTATGATTGTTTAAATAAAATTGAAGCTTTTGTTGAAAACCAAAATAAGAAATCCGGTCGTCAGTCACAACTTTTTTCCAGTGAAAGAGTAAACTTTAATATGTACATACATATGTATGTATATGTGCATACATACTATACATACATACATACATATACTGGGTACATATACAATACATTTGTATGTACATATATTATGTAAATACATACATACATATGTACTACTATTTCATAATTTTCGTTTTTTGTTCAAAAATCATAGATATTAGGGCATTTATGTAACGTATAACCCATTTTTAAAAACGAATGAATAAATGTTCATTCACAAAAAAGTACATGCATTTGTAGTTTTTATTGATAACTCGAAGTCATGATAACTCGAAATTTTCATGTGTCAAATCGCAGTTCGACTTATCGAAGTTGGACTGTATTCACATATTATTAACACCCTGATGTATTATTACATATGAAATACATAAATCCATCTCTGAGTGTGGACGCTAAAACACTCTTTTCCAAACCTCACAAGTCAGAAAGTCAGAAAGTAGACGTAAAAAGTTAATATAAATTAGATATAAAAAAACTAATACTGATATACTAACATATAATCGAAATTAGAAAGGATGACGACTACGCCATAATGATATCAGAAAATTCCACAAGAGTACGCTTGGTGTCATTGCTAATATATTCGTCATCTTTCCTGAATAACTGTATACTTGAATTTCATTAAATTCGGTGAAGTCTATTTCCTCATGTTTTTCTCGGTTCTTTATCAATAATGTTGCAATAAATAAATTTTTGTTGAAAATTCATTGATTCCGTGTTTGACATAAAGATGAATACAAAATTACACCCTGTATGAATTTGTTTGTTCCTAACATGTTCAGCTGTTTGTGTGTATCAGATGAAACTATTGTTGTCTGCTTTTATGGAAAGGATTTCAATTTTTAAGGCACAAATAATTTGAAGATTTTAATTCAAAAATTAATTTTGTAGCCACTTGTCACCTGATAGACAATCCTGCGGTTCACGTAGAGGAGGCATCAGATGATAGCACAAGCAATAGCGATCGAAAACTATGCTACATGAAGAGTTTCTCCCGTTCGACCTCTCCTGTGATTCTATCGGCCAGTTCGTCGCAGATCAGCCTCAATCTTAGCGCCAGAGATCACAATCCACCCATTTACGAGTACTTGGAAAAGCTGACCGAGCCACAAATTTACAGGTCTAGGTAGAAACTGTTACATCAATCCTCGACACCCCGATTATACAACGAATTTCAGGCTAAATACAGCTGTGAGTAGTAAGGAGGGTGTCGAATCGCCCCAGTACCACGCCCCTCAACCCGTAGCAATGAGAAGGGTGGAGACGGTCAGTCCTCAGGTGGTGGAGCCTGTCCAGTACGCTTCGCTGATGAAGGAACTGCAGAAGGCGATCATCAGTAAGAAAGAACCATCTGCGGTGACGTCACCTCTAAGCAATAGCGAAAGCCAAAGTCATTCCAAGAGCAGCGACACTGAATTCTCGAGAGAATTAGAGGCTGCCCTTCAACTCATTCAGGTGAGTTTTGACGCTGATTAACGAAAAACATAAGTGTTACACCTTTATTTTATTTTGCCGATGCACTTTAATCGAATTTAGCTTTTGTTAAATAATAATATAAGTTCTGGCTCATTGGTTTGGTATTATTTACTTACCCCTTGTTGAGAAAATTTGGCATATAGTTAGAAAACACATGTTTTTGTATGATGCCTTATATCTTTCAATCCGCAGCCGTTGAAGTATCAGAATTAGGCGTTAAGATAGTGAAATATATTTATGTAATAATTCAACTTCAAATAACAAGTTGCAGTTGCTTTAAATGAACTTCAAAAATAACCTAAAATCTAAATACTACCACTTTCAATATGTATATAAAGTTACTCCATACAAGAGATACAAGATATCGATCGCCTACATTTGTATAATAATTTTTCCAACATTGGAACAGAGGATATGTGTATGGACTAATTTTTTTATACACATTGTTTAATAATATGATTAATGTTTCCGAATTATTAAATCAAATTAATATTCATTCTCCACCGTACATAACACGAAATTCCCTGATCTTTTAATTAGACTTTACCCATATAAATGACTTTAACAATTCACAAATTATTGTTATGAGTAAACAAGTCCCCTAAGAGTGTGATTTATGGCACACTTCGTCAGTTTAATAGGCTTAAATCTAAACTCATTAAAATATGCAATTAATTATTAAATTGTATTCTTGTATTTCATTACTCTGTTGAAGTTTGCAATTAGTCATGGACTCTTCTGTTGTGATATGTTAATATTTTAGAGTTGTTGACATAAGTATTTGATTCTCTTTTTAGAAATTTTACTATTTTTTTAAACCATAATCAAGCTTCGACTGCACAAGACTATAATAAAAAATTTTCGAGTGCTTTTCAATTAGTTTTTACTTTTCTAATTAAGAATCCAAGATTTCTATATGCTAGTTTTAAAATGTGTTCTTGTCATATCGAAGGTAACACCAAGCCTATTTTTTATAGTAACTGTTGTAATAATAACTTTATTCAGATTATATTTGAAAAACAAAGATTTTTGTCACAAATGTATCAAGAATTGTTCAAAATGTAAAATCTATAAGATTTCCACCAGTAGGTAGATCTGCGTTCTTAAAAACCATATATCAGAAACTTTTCCTTTGTGTGGACGCTTATTCTAGCTGTTTGAATATTTTGGAAAAAAAATTGCTGTGTTAGTTAAAATCATATAGCTACCTACTAGATCTCATAAAATGTTCTGGGATAATAATGAGTTAAGTGTGTGCAAATCGCTGTTTAGAAAGAAAATCGCAATCGCAGGTTAATAGGTGAAATATAGAGTTATGCGTGGAAAATCATTACCTTCTCTACGAAAATATTAATGAAGTTGCGGCACATTAGTTTTTACCAATAATTAGTTACGTTATTTTTTAAATCTAACTTAAGACTGGCTCTATTCTAGCCATTTTTAACTTATCTGTATTTTATTTATTACTAGGAGGCGATAACCACTTTACCGTTTCCAGATTAATAAAAATGAATATTACGGAAAACCTAGATAAAGAGAAATTGTTATCGTGTTAAATTTAAATATTTTTGTAATGTTTTTCTTTCGATTTTATGAAACATTTATTAAAATATTTTTTCAAAATAGTAATATTAAAGTATTGAGTAGACTATTGCGCCACCCTGCATATATTTAAAGGGGTTTCTAAATTTAAAATTATACTATTTGATATTCTATAGTGGAACATAAATTAAAATCAGTTTAAGCTCTATTTTCTCCCAGGCTTTTTGTTTCTCCTGTCTCTACAGCTCTTTTCTATTTTCTTAAACATATACATATCCATTGTATCCATTCTATTCCTAAAGACTTAAAAATTGGTACAATTCAGACTTGAACAGTTTCCGATATAACATGACAAGACATTTTTTCTCACTTTTTAAAATCTTTCTTCATAGTCTCCTCGTAACTCTATACACTTCTCCCTGCAATGCTCCTATCTCTCTAGCCCGTCCAAATCGTAACCACCGTTTGTCTCCTCAAAATAATTGTTCAAGTAAGTGATTGCCTCCTCACTTGGCGAAAATCTTTGTCCTCCGAGCGGTTTTCAGATGCTTGCAGTTTTTGTTTTTTTTTTTTTCGGAGTCGGTTCTTCCTCTGCAGTCTACTGTTTTGACTGAATTTTTGATTCGCGCATATAGTGTATCCAAGTTTCATCTACAGTAATTAACGTGAATAAACGCGGCACTTTATTTTGACGGTGGTTTAACACCATTTGATGAACTTTAGCAATATTGTCGTTTGTAGTTATAGTTTTTGGACGCCCCTAACGTTCATCATCTCCTAAACTATTACGACCACGTTTAAATTAAGTTGTCCGAAATATCACTGTGGTAAATGACGGTGCAGAATTCCCATACACAGAATCTAACTCAACTTTAATTTGCGTCGGCGTATTGCCTTTCAAAAATAAATATTTTATAACAGTTCTATACACTTTTTTTTCATTTTCACGAAAACAACTCACATCGACTGACTCGAAACGACTCTCAACTAAAAACCACGCTTCCAAAATGGCTGAAACTTTGGTAAATAACCATACTAATGATACTCATACTAACTTGCACTTTGTATACGACGATCTCCACACACACCTAACTCGTTTTTCCTTGAACATTTAACACCTTACAAAATATGCCGTGATAATACCACACCCAGCTATGAAATCAACGAACTGTCAGCAGACGTGTCAGTTTTTGACTGCCGATAAGTCTTACTTGTCGAAAGCGACATTTGAAATGACAGAAGTCCTATTGGTTAAAAACGGATTTTGACTTGATCGCGCATGTGCGTATTGAATGGCCCCTGTCAATTTTTTTTTATGGTAAGTCTCATGTTCGATGTTTTTTCCCCAGTCTGCATCATCTACACTCTCGCACGTCTTCTTCTAACCAATACTTCGCTAGTTTATTTCTGCACTCGCAATCAACTTTATTTCTTTCATACATTTTCCCTATTAAAGTGCGTGGGAAGTGTTCAGTTACGTCATACGCACACCATCAATTGCCTTACCTTTTTTAACGAATGCAAAGGTTCAAAAATACACCGAAACAAACGCTATATAAAAATGGTAGTCGACTTCCGCGACCATTGCGAAATGAACTTTGTTTATAGGAATATATTTATATATTTATAAGGTTTTCAGGCCTGCGATAACATTCAATTTAATGGCGCTATAATAATCGTTTTAGGACCTGGAGAGTCCAAACACTGCTGAAACGCCGTCGGACTTGAAAGATGTGCGGCCGTTGTGCATGTGGCGAAAAAGCAGCGGAGCGAGCGAGAGCGAAAAGACGCTGAGCGCTGTGGGTTCGATGGGGGAAATCACGTCTCCCATGACCGAAATTCCCCTCCAACGAGGAGAATACTCACCCTCGAATCCTGGTAAGGGCTCGCGCGTTACAGTACAATATCCCAATTCCCAGAGCACCTCGGGATATAGTTCGCCCACTCACGGACCCACCCCAAACTGGTCGACCACCTCCTCTATAAACGGTAGCAGTATCGACATCGTTAAGCCGATCGGCTATCACATTCACAACGCCAAGTCCACGACGGTTATATCATTATTCTCGCAAGCAAGCGGCGACAACGGCAAAAGTAAATCTGTCACTCTAGTCAACATTTCCGGCCATCCAGATCCGTTTAGGGAATCTGACATCCTAGCTTCGACGTTTCTAGTTAAAGATGGTCAACCTAAGGAACATTTTCCCCTATCGTCGTCTAAAAATGAGAATACAACTGAAATATGTCGGAAACGTTCGAACGAGATCACCACCTGGCAACCAAAACCGGACGCTCACCAGGGTATTTGGAGCGTAAAGTCGCTGTTGCGAAAAAAAAAACACAACTCCCTTCCAAAATTGCGGCCCGAGTTGGAAGCGGCCATTATTAAATCCGAGAGTTTAGCGTACCTGAGCGAAGTGGAGTTGTTGGCGAGACATAAACGCAATGAAGAAATCCAAAGGGTAAGGGACATTCAATTTTTGGGGACTGTCATGGTGGTGGTGGTGATGGTGATGGTTGATGTACCTTATGGGTTACCCTGTTGTCATCGGTGTTTGTTGCATTTGCGTTGTTTCCGCTTTGTTTTTAATAGGGTATAAAAAGGTCTATAGCCGAGCTAGATAATTGCATATTTGTTAGAAAATTCCTTACAAGTAGTGGTAGAATTCGGGAATTGTTTGTGAAGTCGAACATATAGTGTTTTTTTTTCAGCAAATTGAACAGAGGGTTATCGAACAATTGGCCATGCCGAGGTCCGAGTCGCACTGCTGAGTTGGAGTAATTTTCTATTCCTCACGGGATTCTATTTATTGTAATTTATTTATTAAATCGTCCAGTTTTTCCAAAAACTTTACACATAAATGTCAAAACAAATTTACTCTGCTTAGATCAACCTATTTTTTGTATATTTTATATCTAGCTATTGTGTAAATAGTACATTTATTGTTACTAGAGCCATATAGTTTATATTGCAATTCTATTGTATATATTGATCTAGAAAACCAGCAATTTATAAGAAAATGAAATAAACATCTTCCTTGGAGATTTTTTGCTTTGGTAAAGTTATATCAGATGGGGGTCCACGTCAGAAGTTATTATTTATTGTTCTTATATAATTATAAAAAATGCAAAAGCAATATCAGAAAAAGTAGAGCTTACGTTCTATAATTAAATAGTCGAACAAGGGAACGTAATTAGGATTAAGAAAGTGGAGTTCAGTATCATAATTGAGAACATCATGTTAATAAATGAAGCAAATTCTTGAAGTCAAACCAAAAATTATTCCAGATCTAGAAATGTTCCAAACTTTTTCCAAATGTTTTACTGTTTATTTGTCAAGAGGCTTCCAACCCGTAATTTTTTATGAAATGAAAGAATTAGCAAAACTAACAAATATGCACCTGGTTCAATAAATTGTACCACGTGGGTTAATATTGGAGCTTTTCAATAGGCTGCTAATCCCGGATGTTCCCGCATCTATCTTTCAACTGCTTGATTATAATACACTTCCATTGGTTCCAAAATTGCAATGTCCTGAGTGGGTCACACTACCTCAACAAATTTGCGTAGCCAAACACTAATAAATCAGTCTTTATGAAACCTGTACTGAGCAACCTAGTAAAGCACCTTAAGCAAGTTCGGCCATTATTCTCTTACTTTTGAAAATTATTGTAGGCCCTACAAATTGTCCCGACGCAATAGTGCAAACTACCAACGTGGTATTAACACCCCATCCACCGCTAGCAACTATATTAATGTTTTTTTCCTTTCTTAGAACTAATCTCGTTTTTCTTCTGAACCGTAGAAAACTCATCTACACTAAAAATCCTAATTTCAACTAAGTTCTCTAAGACTGTTATTTATACCCTCTGTATCTAGCCAGTGATGTCGACTCTGGCTGATATTTATTCTGCCAACTGGAACGCTGCTCTTCGTATATCCTTAATAACATAATTCTTCCATTTTCAGAACTTGATCTTCTAGTTCCTGTTCGATTTCTGCGGTAAATACGGTTAGCCGTCCTAATGATTTTGTTCTTCACTTTGCCTTTACATTTCGCTTGAGAGTCCGTTTTGAAATATTATATCGTTTGAAAATATTCAGTCCAAATTTCCCAGTTTTTATATCTACTTATTGCCATTTGATATTTGATACCCTTGCGAGGCATGACTGAAAAGAAGCGCATAAGTTCTTCGGTGTACCATTACAAATTAACACACCAAAGTGGTATGATCAACGAAATTATGTTACGTCTTTAATTGTTGTAGTTATGGAAAATGTTATCGAAACAACTAGTAAGTTCTTAGTAGGACACAGGGACTAAATCATACTATAAGAACTTACTACGTACCCACGTTTTGTGGAAATACCGGAATTTAAACTTAAATCGTTCACCGGCTTTCGCGTGGCTTCCGTGAGGCCCAGAGACGTCAATTCAGCTAAATAAATGGTGTTAGAAGCTTAGAGTTTCATAAATACCGCGGTGGTACAATTTTGCAGCCGTTACAATATACCCGACTTCACCCTATCTAACAAATACCTCTCGAATGTGGAGAGTCATATATCGGAGAAACGGTAACATCAAGTGGCCCGAAGCTCGGATTGTCCAGAGGAAACCGCATTGCATTGCAGAATTTTAAAAAAGTATTCATTAGAAACAATGAAAACGTCTTTAGGAATCCAAGCGTGATGTTGGCGTCCTAGCAGAACAACCTCACGCTTGATCGCACCAGACTTCGTCATGGGGAAACATTGTAGTGTAGTATACTGGGTGTCCAGTATAAGATGATTTATATGGGGATATTGTAAACCGTAGGAGATACAAAGACGCTTAAATGGAAGAAAAGTAGCGTATTTATATGCCAAAAATAATCTAGCTTTGTTTTATTTGAAATCAATAGCCGTACGTAGTACAGCGTGAGAAATGAAAATGTCCATTTTTGAAAAACAACAATATTTTCTTTATAGGATACGGCGATTCTAAAAATGGTGTCGAAACAAATTTAGGAGTATCTACTATTTATCGCCTATTTATTATGTTGTATACCTCTTAAGTCAACTTTTGTTTTTTAGCTCTTTAAAAATGCCTTTCAACCATGTGCATCATATTTATATTTGATCTAGATAAATCCGGAAAAATAACAAAAATAAGATTTCAGAATAGTAGGCTTTGATATTGCTATTCAATTTTAAAACACATTTTAAGTAATGAGTGAATAAGAAGGGATTCAATATAATCGAGAAAAGAAGTTATTAAAACTTTCAAACATATCTTTAAAGATGCTTTACTCGTTTAACGCACAAAAAGGCACTGAATTTTGCAATAAAATTGGAGCAAGCGTTCAAATAATCCGCCGTTTTGTTGCACGCATAACATTCATTTTCCTAACACTGCTTGACAGGACTATCTTAATGGTTGCGTAATGATACAGATTCTCTTAATTCTCCAACGTTTCCATAGGACCTATTGCATACTTAATTTTTGAGGTGATCCCATACAAAGAAATCAAGGGGTGTTATGTCTGGGGATCTGGCTGGCCATCTGACTGATCCCAGGTTGCCTATCCACCTGTTGCGAAATTCTGCATTTAAAAAGGTCTGTACATTGTGTGGCAGTGCGCCGCCTCGTGGGAAACACATTTGTTGCGAAGCCGCTAGTGCAAGTGACTTTTATTTACAACAAAATGCTAGAAAATGCATCGAGGCAGAAGGTTAGCTCGTTGAACACTTATAGTGATGAACCTATGAACATTTTTGTGTAAACTGAGTTTTGTATCTTTTGTTAAATTAATTTCTTGAAAGTTTCTGTTAATAAAGTAGTTTAGTAAGTAAAAGTAAAGTAGTAAGCAGACGGTTAGCTCTTTGAACATTTATAGTGATGAATTAATTTCTTGAAAGTTTCTGTTAATAAAGTAGTCCCCGCTGTTAGATAATAATGAGCTGCAAAAAAAGCATCACGAACATGTTTTTTTTTTACGTTCTCAAAGTGATATATAATGTTGTAAGAACGATGAAAAGATTTAATTAAATTGAAAAAAAATCAGGTCCGTATTTTAAAAATAATAACTTGATGATGGTTGTCAGAAGCCGATAAGTCAGATTCAATATTTAATAATACTGTTCATTTGAATCCAGAATGTGTGAATGTGGTGTTAAAAATCATCAATTTTATTGGAACATATTATTGTGAAGTTAGATCGCTAAGCAAAAGGAAGATGCTGAAATGGTTTTACAAGTTTAGGAATATGATAGCGGATTATATGCAAATAAAATATTAATCGCTATCTGAATTGAGTGACCCAAAATGGAACTTAGCACTTCTCATCGACTTTACATTCTATTGGAATGATTTAAATTTAAAATTTGAAAACAAAGGATAGTTAGTGACAGCCATTTGAAAGCGTTTCAGGACAATTCGCTTGTGGGAGGCACAGATGCTGCCTCTCAACAGTTACCATTTCACCACACTCTCTCCGTATCAAAATATTGCTTATGCCAAATTTGCTAAAGAACTCAAATCGCTGTCGCAACACTTTTCGAAGAGATTAGATTCAAAAAGTAATACACAAAATATTCCAATACACTTGTAAATGCCGTTGATCGAGATTCGAGAAAACTCACCCATTTTGAAGTTGTTCAAGTTCTACACAAAATACCCCTCCTAAAAAAGGTTAGCAACTCCTTCAGCCCAATACCGTGCACTGAGTCCGGATCAATCAGGGCCGTTCCGCAGACTCCCAATCTTGCCCATGTCAAGGCAGGGCACTCGGTGAGCAGATGATACGGTGTCTCCCCCCCTTCCATGCACCACCTACACTCCGGGTCGTCTCCAATGCCTAGCAAGCAAAGATGCCTCCTAAGCCTGCAATGCCCTGTGTAGGCCCCTGTTAGTGCTCTACACTCCCTTCTACCCAGTCTAAGCAGCTCCCTGGTCCGAGGAAGGGCGCGCCCATCCATCATAAGCCTCGCCTGCCTCATTCCCGGAGCAACTCTCCAGCCCCCCGCGGCCCGGTCTCTCGCCCAGACTTCTGGAGCTCCCCGCCTCACACACGGAGCGATCCCCAAGCGGGGCTCTGGCACTATAGGCCTATGCGAGGAGCCCTCTCTGGCTAAGGCGTCCGCTGCCTCATTGCCCCGGATACCGGTGTGACCCGGGACCCAGACCAACGTGACTTTTCTCTCCTCAGCCACCCTCCTCAGTACCCCTTTGCACTCCTTTATCAACAAGGAACGCGTACGCACTGACTTCAGCGCCATGAGTGCAGCCCTACTATCCGAGCAGAAGAAGACTCTCCTGCTTCCGTGGTTGAGCCGAAGCACCTCTCTGACCGCCATCAATAAAGCGAAAATTTTCGCCTGAAACACAGTGCAGTACTGACCCAGAGGGACCGACAAGCTCGATCCCGTTGTCTGGCAGTACGCTCCAGCTCCGGCCAGATCTCCCATTCTGAACCCGTCCGTGTACCAGACAAGTCCATCTCAGGAGCCGATTCTGCCCTCTCTCCAATCTTCCCTTGATGGAAAGAGAAAGGTCAATTTGTCAAAGAAGGTCATCTCGGGGATCATGACGTCACTCGGCATGCCCATGACCCCGCGATCCCCGCGACAGCCCTCTAAAATGTCGTACGGACCCCTATTGAAGGTTCCCTCCCTCCAGAGCCCGCAGCTCGCCAGCCTCACAGTTGTCCTGGCCGCCTCCATCTGCACCCGATCCGCTAGAGAGGGCAGCCCTACCAGAGCCTCCAGGGCCCTCGTGGGCGCCGTTCTCAATCTCTGCAGTTTGTCAAGAACTAGCCTTGCTCCCGCTCTTTTGGTCCCCGGCCTCCATGCCACTGCCCCATGCGTGAGCATAGGCACCACCATGGTACCGTAGATCCACTGCATGATCTTCGGCCCCAGGCCCCAAGTGCCCCCTACCGCTCTCCGGCACGCCCACAGAGCTCCAAAGGCCGACCTGGTCCTTGATCTTATATGTTCCTGGAAGGTCAACTTAGAGTCCAACCATACGCCTAAGTACTTGGCACTTCCCCTTGCAGAA